AGTTTAGGGTACCTTTCCGTTAGACGGCTTCAGTTGAACATTCGACCCCATTATCTGAACAGAAACTTTTCATAAGAGTGCAACTAATTATTGGAAAGCGTATATCTCTGGCTAGCGCGGTTTTTGGCCGTGCTTCGACAAAATCCTTTTATAACGCTTCAGCGAAAACAAACTTTGTTTTTCACACACGCGTTTTTCTCGCAAGACAGAGCCCGCTCTTTAGACTATCAGTGATCATTCGATAGCGTAAGATTTGAGGATTCAAACGCTGTGCCTTCTTTCTGGAAACACCGTTCCTCTACAGTACAGCAGGTCAAATAAGGTTGAGTTCCGCAATTTTGGCGTGCTGGCTTACCTGCTAATACACGGTCAGGGTGTGTGGTTGCCGTAGAGTTGATGCGACGGCCGGTCACGGTCGATCGAAATACATCGAGCGCGTCACATCAAAAATGCGACTTTTGTTAGTCAGTTAAGAATTGTTCCTTCGTCTGAAAAGAAACTGCAGATTGAGCGTCTGAATCTGATAATACAGCGTTTCTTCTACACGCTCATACGCTTTTCGTGCTTCCGGCGAAATAGGAGTAAAATTGTGCGCTCACTGTAAAGCATAGTTTTATTTTCACAGTGTTATAAAAGGGTATTAGTACTTTTCTATTAGACGGCGGCAGGGAAAAACTAAAGTCATTCCCTGGCCAGGAAATTTTCATAGGAATGTTAGTAATCATTCGAAAGCTTGTACCTCTGGCCGGAGCCGTGCATAGCCGGTTTTTGAAAGGACTCTTTCATAAGACTGTAGAGTTTGAAAAGATATTATATTTCACACGCGCATATTTCTCACCGGACAGACCTTTTTTTGAACCATTAATAATCATTCTATAACGTAATGTTTGCTGATTTCAACGCTGTGCTTGTTTTTTGGAAAGACAGTTTCTCTCCAGTGCAGCAGGTAAAATGACTTCAATTCACATGCGTGATCAAGGAGCCTTTAGCCAGTTCGTGTGCCTCTGGGTAAGGCTGCTAAGTGGGCTGGCGTGATTGTCGGTTTTTCATCGGTCTTATAAAGGTGTGATCTTTGTTGCTTGATTAGGAATAGTTTCTCCGCTTTGAAAAAGAAAACGAAAGGTGAATCGTAAGACTGTGCTACTAAAAAACCTTGAACACTTTTATTTTGCGTTGAATACGGAAAAATCGCGCATTATTATGATCAATTTAATGAAACTCAGAGCTAACACGTCCTAATTGCTTGTTACTTTAAGGCATTTAGGTTCTACGAGATTTTCTCTGCACGTTCATATGCTCGAATACCAATCATTCATCGCGTCAGCTCCCCTTAATCTCTCACCCAGCAGCCCTGAATACGCCAAAAGAGCACTTACTCGCGTATGAATATTCAAATTATTTTCCCTTTTGCACTGCAGAAAAACGACATTTCTAGAAAATAAGCGCAGCGTTGGATAAGCGAACATAACGCTATAGAATGATTACTAGTAGTCCAAACAAAAAAGCTCTCCTTGCGAGAAAACAGCATGTGTAAAACACGAAATATTTACTTCTGTTATAACGTCAAAAAAGGGCTTTTCGGAAACTGCCACGTGGGGCTGTAGCCAGAGATTTGAGCTTTCGAATGATTACTAACGCTCCGATGAACTTTTACTGTCCATTAAATGAGATCGGTTTTTCATTTGTCTTTGTCTAAGAGAAAAATACCAGGTGTTTTGAAAAACGACCATATAGCGCAGTAGACAGAGATTTAAGCTTTTAAGTGATTACTAACACCCTTATGAGAGTTTATTGTTCAGCGAGAGGCGTCATTTTATCATTTGTTTCCCGATAAGGAAATAGAAGCGGAAGTTTTCTTTCTGTGGATCATTAGGTTGAGATAGCAGAATGTCGACGAGCTTTAAGGTCAGGAATTCAAGTGTTTTCTATGTTTCCTCGTCAATCTCTTCCCATATCATTCTCATAAATGATCTAACAATTTAGGTCGTTCGTCGGAAGGACTCCTTCAAATGAGTTTTTTGTAGTGTTCTCTTTGGAATATAGAATGAGTTAGCTTTGTTTAAGAGCTATAAAAAAGAAGGGCAAAGTACTAAAAAAAACCAAAAGATAGTATCTACAAGAATATTACGATAATTAGCTTTTTTTCTCTGTTTATGCCCGCATTGGTGGAGGAATTGTCACAAAGAAGTCCTTAGAAAACCTTACTTGTCATTAGCTTTCTCTAATTTTTTCTTTTCTTGCTAAACCGGCCTCCCTCCCCTCAGTATTCAATTGCAGAGTTTTTTAGTTCGAGGCGAAACTCAAACGTGAAGAGGCTGAAAGAGACGAAATTGCAAACAAAACCTAGAACTTAGTAATGCTTCTTTTGTTTCGTTACCTACACTATTGTTGCTGCTTGTAATCATATAATGTATGTGGCGCAGTGGTTAGAGGTGCCGTGCCGCTGATTAATTGTCTGATACCGCTTGCTCAAGGCTGAAACAACGCAGCAGGCAAAATAAAGTTAATTTACATGCCTGAGCAAGGTGGTTTTTGGCCAATCAAAGCCGCTGGATAAGGCGGCAATGGGAGTTGCGCAATTACCGATCTATTTTCGACCGGCCTTAGCTAGTGCGATCTTTGTTATTTGATTAGGAATTGTTTGTCCGCTTTGAAAGAAAAACTCCACATAAAACGTATGACTTTGCTATCAAAAGACTTTGAATACTTTTATGTCGTCATGAATACGAGTGAATTAATCACCACTATGATCACTTTGGTTTAATTCAGGAGGCCAGAACGTCCTAATTGCTTCCAACAGGATCGAAAGCATTCCGATACTACGAGACTTTCTCTATACGTCCGAATGCTCGAAAATCGATCGATCATTGTGTCGGTCGGCCCTGCTGCCTCACCCAGAGGCCCGTGATTGGACAAAGGCCACCTTCTTCGCGCATGTAAATCGATCTTATCTTTCCCGCTACGTTGCAGAGAAGTGGTCTTCTCGCGATATAAGCACAGCGTTGGATTCAACAGAATTACACTATCGAACGATTACTGATAGTGCGAAGAAAGAGCTTTGTCCGGTTAGAAATGCGCTTATGTGAAACACGTAAATTTCCTTCAACAGCAGCGTCAGAAATAGACTTTTTGTATAACTAGTTACGTGGCGCTGTAGCCAAAGACTTGAATTTTCAAATGAAAATTACCACTCCTATGAAAAGTTTCCGTCCAGCGAATGAGATTGGATAATCATTGTCCTCTCATAACCGATAAGAACCGAAAACTTCAACTGCGTGATGCAGCGAAAATAAGACTATGTTTCGCACTTGGCTGGATTGAGGTTTTTTCCTAGATTACTAGTACATTCAGCATTCCTGATTGATGTTATTTCTTGCAATATTCTCAAGTTAGAGAATATTTTGAGCCACTCATTGTTGCTCTTGATGGACAAGAAATTGTGTAACTGTGAAGTGTCCATCTCCATTCGGAAATGGTATTTCATTTGTTTTTCCCTTGAAAATTTTGACTTATAATCAAGTATGATTCATGAGGATATGCTGCAACGTTGTGAGGTTTCGTACACATTTTCCGCTTAATCGAGTAGGCGATCAAGGGACTTCTGCTTGTATAAACCGAATGGGTATGCGCTCTAATCGCTCCCTAGAGGATGTCATATACGTAGTGAGCAGGAGACGGCTTCTAACGTGAACTACCATCACGCGAATTCGACATGGGAAAGATAAATTAAGTGATCTCCAACCTATCAATAATTTATGAAGACGAAAAGTGAGCTCGATTAGAGTTCTAACATTCTTTTATGAAATTATGTTAGTCATCATGAAATCAAAGGAGAGTCCTTGCTGACATATTTTAGGTTTATTCGTCAGCTGCGCTGTTCACCAGTACAAGAGGCCAACGAGACTAGCACATTCTGGCAGTGGGACTGTTTCGGTTTCTTATTACAGGTAATAATTAGTATTTGATGGTTGTTAAGTTTGTCAGTTTTTCAAACAGGTCCTTCCTACTCTAAGAGTATTTCACTGCATTTCAGCGTCGCTTTTATAAGACGCACCCCCGACATGCGATGGAAAATGAGCATTGTGAGAGCGATTTCAATAACAACTGTCTTTTTTCGAATCCATCGATGAAGGAGAATATCAAACGTCAACGTCGCACTTAGTGCACAGCAGATAGAGGAACGACCGACAACGCCACAATTCCCAAATTGTGGAAGCAAAAATGAGCGCAAGCGTGCGCCACGAAAGCGCAAATATAAGCGTGGAAAGTGAAGGCACCTCGGTCGAAAGGAGCGGCCGACAACGCCATTATCTTCAAATGGTGGAAGCAAAAATGAGCGCGAGTGTGCGCCACGAAAGCGCAACTCTGTGCGTGGGAGAGGCAACTCGCTCGTGACTTCATAATGCCAGTACCCTTACTAGATTATATTGCTTTATCACAAGGAACAACCGATAGAATTCAGTCCTGCATCAAATCAAAAGATTGAACGTCCCGAGAAATTGCGCTGATCTTTTGCTACAGATTTATGTTTTCTGAGATACGTAGATAAGTGTATCTAGACTGACCTGTTCTTACAAAGTGTGTAGAACAAGTGAATCCAGATCATCTTTGATCAGATATGTTTCTATAATGCTCAGTTCAGTTCAATAATACCAGTTCAAAATTGTTTTTATTGTTATAGAATATATTGTCCCGATATCTCAGATCTCTAATTTTGCTCGTATCTTAGCATTCTTGTGGTTATAATTCACGCCCTATCTTGCTGTTATAATGAAAATTAGTCAGTTCATAAAGTTTAAAAACGTAACTATTTTGAATTAATGAATATGTCACATTTCACTGTATTTGTTTTGAGTATCTAGTCCGTGTGTCATGTTTGTGGAGAACACCGGATTGTCAGTAATGCTAATAGCTAACACCGTTCGCAGTTATTGTCAATTTCGTCGCATATTACGATTTCGTAAAGTAAACCACCACACCATGAGTGGTTAAACCACTGCAGGAGTATAGATCAGGGGTAGAGCGCTGGCTTCGCATCCGAGAGGTCTGGGGTTTGATTCCCCACACCTCCACTTGTTTTGTCATTTATGTTCTTAGTTAACAATGCAGTAATATCTTTGTCAGTTCCGTCAAGCGTTTTCTGGAGGTCGATGCCCTACACCAGCAGGTATTTGTACTCCATTCATTTCTTATTTTTATGCCTCTTTTTATTGGATCTCCAATTCTATACAATTTGTAAGTCGGTTTTTTTCCGTCGTTTGTCAAAGCATCTGCGCTTCTTCTCATCTTATGCATGCTCCATATTTTTCTCGACATACGCAAATGTCTTTGGCTCATATGTAAACTCGTGGTTGAAGAAAAAGACATCTTGACAAAAGTTACTGCTGTCAGCTTATGTTGATGTGTTTCTTACTCAAACAAGCAAATCACGTTTTTTATCCGATATTGGTTTTGATTTACACTTAGCCCTTACAGCACCTAACAGTGACCTTCCGGGCGAAATTCGGAAAGTAGCTAACACCATTCCGAAAATGATTCCGAACTTACATGTGAATTTTGTCAGTGTTTGAAACCGATACCCTCTCACCGCAAAATCTTTTCAGATGGTTATTGAGAGTCACTTACAGTAATATAGAGCAGAGCTTTTAGCTATTCTTGGTTGCAACGACTTCAAAGAGTCTATTTCGTATTGCAATGATTTTATGAGTTAAATCTATTTGCGAGTTTATAACAGAGTCTGATAGAAGCCAACAAGTTATACCTGAGTTTATCGCATTATTTGTCCATATCTGTGCATATGCAAATATGTATAAACGTATATGCCTTGGTATGTATGCATAGATACATTTGAATTGATATGTACATGTTCCCTGCATCAATCCAACCCGCCCTGAATCTTGGCATGGAATATTAAGCTATTGTTCCGTGGACGAGTCTACATAAGGTAGGTGAGATATTTGTATTATATATATATATATATATATATATATATATATATATATATACACATATGTAAACATATATACATTGCGGGCCACCGTGATCGAGTGGTTGTGATGCTCGTCGCGACGTCGTGGAGCCGAGCTCCACCCTCCAACTCTCTCCGGCAGTCAAGAACAACGTCCTATGGAACGCTACAGCAAGGCTATCCTCGAAATTGCAAGAAAGCTCGATCACCTAGTATTCTACTCCGTTTAAGAAGAAGACAAATAAGGAATTGAATGCTAGAAGTACTGGGATCCACACAGTGAAAAAAAGTGTGACGACGAGTCAAATAAAATAAAGTAAAATATATATATATATATATATATGTAAGTACAAATATATATCTTCATATTCTTTAAGCTTGAAAAATCACCATAATCTGCTACGTAACCATTCAAGTCTGTGTGAATCGCTGCAAATGTGTCAAATTTTTCTTTTGGCTCGAAAGCCCATTTCCTATTAACCTTGAAATTTGCTTTATTTTTCGACACTTTATTATCCGTCGTAACAGGTTTTTTTACCGAGTGAATCTCAGTGCTTCTAGCAGTCAATCTTTTTTTTCGTCTTCTTGTTGAACGTTGAAGAATACTGATTGAGTGAGTCTCCTTGCAATCTCGAGCAAGCCTGACTGTGGCGTACCATAAGACATTCGTTATTGACTGGTGGAGAGTATTGAGGAGTGAAGCTTAACTCTGCGGGCACCGCGAGCATCATCACAACCACTCGGCTACGACACCTGCTCGGCATTAATTACTAAAATATATATACTGTTGATTACCAGGGGCGAGCTTGGTAGTAGTGTAGCAGTAGTAGCACTATTGATAATTATAGCAGTTTGATGGCTGACCTTTCGCCAATTTCACCTTCTTCACAGCTTGGACGTACGTTGCATTCGAATATTCGTCTGTAAGTCGCCGTAATAATATTAAATAATAACTAGATCGATAAATAAATGACAGAATCGTCGCTTCTTCTATTCAAGATCTGGCTATAAGATTTCTTTTGATGTTTCGTGACTCCACTGAAAACCTCTTCGAGGCATTGTCAGGGAGGCGATGATGAAATAGTCGCAAAGGCCACAAGAGATGAGCAAAAACAATTAATGCTATGCAAAAGTTTATCCATTGCTTTCTAGATCATTGAATAATCGTTCAGAGACTTTGTGGGAACTCTACGTTGGTACTAATAAAAACATTGATGTGACCGCTTAAGCTCCATGTTAGATTGCCGGTATTGGCGTGTAACAACTTTCGTCGTACATAAAGCGCAAGAAATATCACTTACATAGTGTGCTTGACTTTCTGTTGACGCAGTTTTATCTAGTGATAATCAAACGCTGAAGGGTTGAACTCTCGCCTTCGAACTTTTTCTCAACTGTCAAGGTTTTCATCAATAAAGCACCTAGATCAACGGCTCTCTTCCCTATATATGAAGAAATTTGATTCTCATTAAATTCAAAGGCTCCAATTTATATATCTGTATTATTTGAAAATTCGTGTTAGAGTGTCGCTATGGGCATTGTTTCTGTAAAACATGTTCTTTGAAATATAAAAGCAATTCTAAAGTCCATTTGAAGCTTCACAATATAGTGGGAAATAGATTTCTCTGTGATTGAACCGTATTTGTGAGTACACCATATGGGTGCTTCTGCATTTACTCTTCATTTTAGAACATTCATATTACGTTTGCGAGTAGTTCGCTTTTTGCTACAGTAAAAAGAATAAGTAAGATAAACAATTTGAAGCCGCAAAAAGCCGTTACCGAAAATTTGAGCTGCAGCAGATTTAACTCTAATTTCAACGTCGTATCTGAATCCACGTCAATTGTTATCATTAGAAGCTGAACATTTTAGTTGGAAATGCACGCTTTTCAATGTTTTTCAAAGTATTTAATAAAACCGAAAAACGTGAAAATGCGAGCAGAATTTAATCTCGACGTTTTCGCATCATGAAATCCAACCGTAGCAGCTCCTTTCGGGGCAGCGGGCACTCGCACAACACTATAGCGCTTTCGCTCAACATTTTTTAACATTGATTTGGAGCGCACAGTGCACAGACCTGCACTAAGCCCAAGATGAAGCCTTGGATGATAACGCAATTTAGACTTTTTTGATTGATGCCTAGTGCTTGATTTAGTGGTATTGTACGATGTGAATAATAACCACACGACTGCTGACTCACTAGCTACTTTGGAGCTTGATTATAGTTAACTATGGCGTTCACTGATTAATTTCGACCACTCAGATCGAGTTTTTCTCGAGAAATTACTACGTTCTTGTGACGGTTGGCGGATGTCTGCATAGAACAAGTCTTTTTCATAATGAAAATGAAGAAAGAAAGGAGCTGTTCTGCACTGAGGTCATCAACTATCGTTGTAATTCGAAACCGTGCCACCCCTGTGACTGGTGACGGCCGACACAGACATTTCGGTTCGTCACGACCTCTTCATTAATGGCACCCGTTCTACTACTTGTCGTATTTCATACGATAGCTGTTGCAGCACGTGAGTCTACAACAATCGTTGAGAAAAGGGATTAAGAACAAAAAAGTAATGCCGATTATAACTCAGTATTTATACAAATATCAAGGTACGATTATAAGCCATCTTGGTATCGAGATTTCTTAGCCCGTTTGCTTCAAATCAATCAACAAGCGAGAATTTTCGACTACTTGAAGGCTTAGTGCAGTTCAACCTTTCTGTATTTTACTTATTTTTTCGTCTTCTTCCTACAAGTCACTCCACTAAACAGAGCTTTCTTACTTTGTTCCTACGTAATTTTTCAGAATTTTATGGATCACTTGGCTATTATGCGTGTTCACAACCAGTGATTTATTACCAGTGCCAATGTCCAACACTTTGCAGGTGGGTCAAAACTCAGGGTCTTTTTTCGATCAACTTCATAAAATTTTTTTCGGGCTTTCGTATTTAGTCTTCTCATAAGTTTTGGCACTAGAGCAATAAACGCCAACTTTATTAACTAGAAGTAATTGAAATTGTTCAAGAACAGTACTCATAGTATTCGAAGCGAATAGTGTCAATGAGCAATTTTAATCAGATCTGGTTAATAAATTTGCTGTTTACTGCTTTAGTGCTGAAACTCATGAGAAGACCTAAAAGGCTAAAATTACTTTCGAAAAGAGGAAGGGAATGGGAGGCGTGTAGACCATGATTTCATTTGGAATGCTACTGCTTGGTCAAAAGGCCCTTTCAAAAAGCAAGCATTTATTAGAATCCATCGAAATTCAAGCTTTCGAATGAAAACTAACACTCTCATGAAGAGTTCTTGTCCAGTAGAACTTTCGACTCTTCATTTTCGTCTGGGTAACAAAATGAACGTGGGATATATATATATATTTACATATATATATACATATATATGTATATACTATAATATATATGCAGCATATATACCTGAGAAATGGCTCAGGCAATTTTAATTACTTCTGGTTAAAAAATTTACCGATTATTGCTCTAGTACCAACTTACGAGAAGGCCTAATATTTATATGAATCTTCTCTATAGAAAATCACGCGGTCCTCATATTAGTTTCATACTGACTGTCAGATTTCCCTCATGAAATCTTCGATTAGCCAAGAACAAGCGTTTTGTAAGTTGTCCCGTGACATCACAGCAGAAATCGCGATTATTCGTTATCTAGGATGGTGATGAATTCAAAACTTTTTGCTGGGCTTCCAAATGGGAGAGTTGAGTTAATTTCTAGATCCGAAAACCTTGTCAGTCCGATCAGCGCTAAGCTTGTTCAAAAAACTGCAGCAAATCTGAGTAGTAAACTCGGACAAATAATTTCAACCATATGAGTGAACGAATACGCCGGTTATGCTGACGAAGAGTGCTGTTTGCCCTATCTTGTGCATCACTAATATTTTTTTTCGTTTTCGCGCACTTTTTTGAAGCATTGAGATTAGAACTACGTCTTGAGACCAAAATGATAGCAATTTCAAACTCGAACGCTACCCCTCCAAAGCAACAAGAGAATAATGACGTTCAAGATCAAACTAGTTTTGACGAGAACGCCATCGTCGCCAACATCTCTGTTATTGCGTGGTTTTTCTCCGTTGTCTCAGAC